GATGGTAGGTCAGGATATAGGTCGGGGTGGCGAGGATGTGGATTAGGGGGGTGGGGTGGGAGTGGGAAGGTTGAAAGAGAGTTTTGAAAAATATTTTTCCTCCTCTTGGTAGGGAAATCATTTTCCTCCAATTGGAGGAAAATGAGTTCAAATGAAAAATGTTTTCCAAAGCATTTAAGCCATCCAAACATGGGAAAATTGAAAAATATTTTCCTCCATACAAAACACACTTAACATACCCAAGATACAATTGAATCTTGTGGACTTCAATATGTCATGTCATTTCTATAATGGAATGTCATTACGGATAAGATAGGAATGTTGGAATTAACATAGAAAGGACGTATATTGTTTGAAAGAGACTAAAAAGAAAGTAAGGCACATCAGTTAAAGCTGTCAAAGTGACTTAGGTGTCTTCCTTTCCCTTGAAAGTTGTCAAAGTCACTCCCTCACACTCTTCAGAATGCTAGGAAGAGCCTAATCTGTATGGGTTTACAGGGAAACCTTATGCCTTTGGGAAGTTACCGGGAATATTAAACCAGTGGTTCAAAGGGTAGATACGTCCCTCCTGTCAATAGCTGAGAGAAAATGGAGGAAAAAGAAGACAGGGGAATAGGGTACACCATGCACTACAATTTAGCGATTCTTGAAGAAAGGCAGTCAAGGTTCAGGGTTGAGTGTGTGATATATTTCATGAAAGTAGAAGGACGAATTTGGGGGGAGAGGACAGTTGAGAAAAAGGAAGAGTAGGCAATAGTAACCAACAATTATGCATATGAATATATTGTCTTGGAACGTGAGAGGTTTGAACAATCTTGGGAAGCGAATAATAAAAGTAATTACACAAGTAGAAATAATATGTGGGTTTGTGTATAAGAAACCAAGAAAATGGGTATTAAAAGAGGATTGATCATAGTGAGGAGCAAATGAAAGATAAGGACCAAGGTTAACCGTTATTCGGACTAGTAAGGAGCAACTGTGAGTATTCTGTTGTAGAATAAAGAGTACTGTCCACATGAGATCATTTGACGGCAACAGTCCGCTAGAACACAACTAGACTAATTCACCGGACAACCTATTTGGCTCATAAGCACAGATTGCCAAGGTAATCCTGCCCACCATGTTGGAACACATCTGCTCAAACTAAGTATTGCAGCTAGGATTCAAACCTGGGTATATACCACTCAGAAAAATTCCCAGAACAAGTGGAATAGTGGATTAGATTTTTTCTCTTAATAACTTCTAACTGAGGGCTAAAGAAACTTGTACAAGATACAAGCTCATCAGTATAGAGATCTTTTTTATGACGTAGGCCATCATTATAGAGATTAAAGACCTGATCAAGACGTCAATGTTCCACATACATCAACATTGCATTTTCTAGATATAGTACACGGAGTAAAACAAATATATATGCAAGATGAACGAACTAGATATAATTGTAGTGAAATATTAAAATAAAGTGAAATCCAGATTAAAACTACATCACATTTCATAAAAGCTATTGCTTAAATGACATGGAAACTTATCCCAACATTTTCATAAGTAAAGACTTAATATAGATATACACGGGAAAGCAAAATAATACATTAAGTGAAATAAGAATGACTAATTTGATAACCTATTGTGTTTTTTTCTATTAAGAATAAATAGCAATAAATGATCACCTCTTTCCAATCTGGGATTCCACCCTCCGGAACCCAAATAGGATGGTCAAACTTGCAGCTATCTCCAAATTTACAGGTTCTTGTTTGCATATAATGGGCACAGTCCTTCTCTCCAGGCCTCTGGGGATATATAGACAAATTGCTTGCACTCTCGAATCTAGGGCGCTTGGCTAAAGGATTGGCTGAAAACCAAGCTTCAGCTTGCCCAATTGTATTACGTGCACCCAAAAGTGTCCGATGATACAGTGCTATGGTATGTAATATATACATAAACACAAAAACACAGATGTGTCTGTTATTATACATACAAGTATACAGTTTTATATTTACATAAGGTAGTATTAGTAAATATGTGCAACAAGAATTCAAATAACTAATACAACTTAAATAATGCTTTTATGCACTAATTACACATGGGAAAAGAGATATCTTGATATAAAAAAAGGACGTAGAAACTAGTGGTTGTTTGCAAAAGCTTTAAACACCAGTAAGATTTATCAAAACTTGCGCATTACATGGAATATATCTAACTCGTAAAGAGCAGAAAACATTACTGGACTTATACAAAAATTATTTGTTGTTAATTGTTAAAATAATATAGATATATCTTAATATCTTAAAGCTATACCAAGAGAGCAACTGAAATCCACTGTACTGGAGGCAGCATTATTTATTTGGAGTAAATTGTTAAGTTAATTGCTGAGCGAAACCCCCAACCTCACAGTCTCACACAACAAAGGTAAATCGCTAACCGATACTTTCATACTATCGCACTAAGCCCTACCTCAAAACAACCTCCCCCTCCTTGCAATTGCCAATATAGGAGGTGCAGCAACAACTACGCCCCAGTCCTAAACAAGTTGGTCTCAGCTATATATCACCGAACCACATTACTTCATTTAAACAGATCAATATTATGCAAATACAACTAGAAAGTATTAGACGTATAATGTATAAATCTCTGAAAGGTTAAACAACTCCTAGAAAGCATAGGACCTACAGTAAAAGTGCTAACATGTCTAAAACATATTCTCAACAAATACAGAAAATGAAAAGTGTTCCATTCTTCTAAATCTCAAGATAATAGCAGATAAAAACAGCCGATACATGGTGCATTCGAGAAGTTAATAGAAAAAATCTATGGTTTATATTAGTCAGATGCAGCTATAGTTCATTAAGCACAAAATGGATAAATAGAAGGAGAGAGAGAATTGTCCCTTACCATCAGAGGAGGAGCGCTTCAAGCTAGAAAAATAAGAGTCGGCAGCAGGAGGCTGCGCAACATCGACTCCAGGAGGTGCAGTCCACGAGGACTGATAAGCCGCCAAACCTGGAATCTTACTCGCAGCGGGGTTATAACTATCACTTTGATTAAATAGCATAGTGGGTGAAGAGAAGGAATAGCCGGAAGAACCAAAATAACTTGAGGAACCAAGGAATGGCTTATTATTATCCGTAGAGAGATAGTCGTCCATGGATCTCGTCGTCGTCCTAGACAGGTTGCTCCCTGCTGCTATTCCCGCATTGCTGCTAGGGTTATAGCCGTAGAGCTGATTCGCCATCTCTCCTAGTACAGATTCGACTGGACAGCCGACTGCAAACCTCCACACAAAGAAGGGAAAGTTTTGCTAGTTAGTAACTTCGCTTTTTCCTAGTTTGGTTTGTTTAAAGAGAGAAAAGTTCAAATATACCCCTAAACGTTTTAAAATTGTTCATTTCATCCCCTTTGTCAAAAGTTTCGGATAAAAAAGAGCTTGTTACTGTCCAGACGTTCATTTATAGCATGGACTCATAACCTAAATTAAATGATAGTAAGTAATATTCTATAATAAATTAAATTACAATTGTAAAAAAAATTACTATCGTATAATTTTAGTGTATATAACTTATATCCTAGTCTTATAATGTTCTACGAACAAAGTAATATTTGTTATACACACTACAATTGTAACGACCCAATCGATTATTTTAAGTTCTAGCGTCTCGTTCCATGATCTGAGATTTCCTGTAGGTCAATTTGATGTTTTATGACATGTGGGTATGAGTGATTTTTGTCCCAAGAGGTTTGGAAGTGATTTGGGATACTTAGTCCCTAAATAGAAGCTTTAAGTTACAAGAATTGATCAAGGTTTAACTTTTGGGTAAACGGACTCGAAATTGAGTTTAGATGGTACTGATAGGTTCTTATGATGATTTTGGACTTGTACGTATGTCCATATTTGACTTTGGAGGTTCCTAGAAGAGTTCGACACCATTTATTGAAAGTTGACAATTTGAACAACTTAAGAGTTCATACGTTTGACCAAGAGTTGACTTTGATGTTCAGAGACTTTAGATAGGTCTATATAGTTGAATTGAACTTGTATGCAAAGTTTGGAAGTAATCCAAAGTGACTAATAACCTGTTTGGCGAAGCTGCAAAAATTAGCTTATTTTGAGAAGTATTTTTTCTCTAAAGTGTTTTTCTTAAAAGTATTTTTTAGTCATAAACAATTTATATTTGGCTAATCAATTTGAAAAACACTCCTTATAAGCAATTAGTGTTTGGCCAAGCTTTTAAAAACTGCTTTTAAATGTATTTTTCTTAAAAGTTTTTTGGAGAGAAGCTACTTTTTTCTGCTTTTTCAAAACTGCTTTTACTCAAAAGCCCTTTTTTTCTAAAAGTTTAGCCAAACACTTCAACTTTAAAAAAAATACTTATTTTGAAAAAAAAAGTGCTTTTGGATGTTACACCCCATACTTAAATAAAGCATGGTAAGTGTGGATCCTAGCGCGAAATCAGCTGGAGACCTGTTCGAAGCCAGAAAGTGATCACACATTTCAGTGGGCTTGCGCCACGTGTCTCGCCGAGCGGGGCAACCTGTTTTGTATGTGGAAGTGGCAAAAATTCCTATGCTTGGTAACAATATAAAAGGGCAGTGAGGCTCTTTCTCTTTCATTCTAGAAGTATCATCAGAACAAGTCCTCTCAAAATACTCTCAACGCCTCATTAGAATTTCCTAGCAAATTAAGGCAAGGTCGAAGGTGAATCTGGATTTAGCAAGATTTAGCTTGAAGGAATTTGGAATCGTTATTATAAAACCCATCACCTAGGGGAATCAGTTCTGAAGATTCATTAGAGGAAAAGTTAACCACCATAGAAGTGTAATTAGATCTCCAACAAGGTATGTAGGGCAACTTTCTTTCTTGGCATGAGTTAGTGTAAGTCTCACCTTCTTTCTAAGTGACCCTTATACTGTAAAGTTTGGTAGTTCTAAGTCCTCTCAATGATATTATCGTTGTTCCTGTGCATTCTCGCTGGTAGTATGACTTTCAGAGTCTACATTGTTCTCAGTTGGGATCCTGTTGTCGGAGAGTATGATTCATTCTGAAGTTTAGAGTTGATATCTCTTGAAATTGCTACTGCATTGCACTTATATATATA